CCTTATTCAATGAAATACTACCATAGAAATGTGTTTTAGGTCCAAAATCCTTACCTTAACAAGGTTCCCTTGAAATCCCTCTTCCAAATCGTCCAAAAGCTCTCAAGCCGAAGTCAAAAATGGTGGAATAACTCAAACTCTCGATATAAAATGACTTATATGTTCTGCCTAGGTCTTTCTGCATCTGTGGCATTTTAATCGCATCTGCGGTACCGCATTTTCGGTCTACCCTCCGCATCTGCGGTACCGCATTTGCGGTCTACCCTCTGCATCTGCGGAAATCACCTAAGGGACCATAATCCGCATCTGCGATACAAACTCCGCATTTGCGGCTATCCTGACCGCTTCTGCGGTCCCTGCTAAATTCCTCCTCCTCTGCTTCTGCGGCCATTCCAACGCATATCCGGCGCCGCACCTACGGTCCTCAAACCGCAAGTGCGAAAATACCAAAAGCAGCAATATCAGCTGCTGCAACACAATTTCAAATTTCTCCGCTAACCATCCGAAATCACCCCGAGACCCTCGGGGCCTCAAAAAAACATGCCAACATATCCCATAAAATCATTCAAACTTGTTTCAACCTTCGGAACATACCAAACAACATCAAAATGCCAAATTTGCATCGGATTCAAGCCTAAGAATTCCAAAATCATCTAGATTACGCTTTAGATCAAAAACCCAACCAAACCACGTCCGAATGACCTGAAATTTTACACACACATCCCAAATGACATAATAAAGCTACTGCAACTCTTGGAATTCCATTCCCACATCTATATCAAAATCTCACCTATCAACCGAAAAACGCCGAAATCTCAATTTCGCCAATTCAAGCCTAAACCTTCCACGGACTTCCAAAATGCATTACAATCACGCTCCCAACTGCCAAATCACCTAACGGAGTTAACCAAATCATAAAAATTTCAATCCGAAATCATATACAAATAAGTCAAATATTAGTAAACCCTTTCAAATCTCAAGCTTCAAATTGGGAACTGTTCTTCCAAGTTTATTCCGATTATCCTGAAAACCAAAACCAACGATTTACATAAGTCATATTACATTACACGGGGCAAGTCATGCCCGAGAACTGGTGAGCGAAATGCAAAAGCTCAAAACGACCGGTCGGGTCGTTACATTATCGTTTGCTAAAGAGGATTTAATCGAGATTATTATGCACATAACATCATGGTTTACTCCTAATTTCCAATATCGATCGCTATCTTCCTATCTAATTTGACCTAAAAATTTATTTACTTAAATATGCGAAATATAATTTTTTTTTCCTTTAATATTTTGATGCATGTTGTTTTATATTTATTGAAGGCTTACCTATTGCGCTATACTGGGTTGAAGAGAAAAAAGTTGTTGGGCTAAGCTGGGTTCATACTAAGAAAGACCTTGATTTTGCGCAAGTAGTATTTTCTCTCAGTACTGAAATTTATTTCTTTGTCCTGAAACATAAAGCTGGAAAAGAACAAGAGAAAAACATTGGGAGTTTGGCATTGTATATCAACTCAGTCTGCTAATTGGCTAGAATTAACCCATTTTTCATTTATTGGCTTCAAGTAGCGAATAAATGTATATCACAACAATAATATGTATATCACAATCTTAATTTTTTTATGTATATCAAAATCTTATTTTCCCAGGAAAAAATAGAGATGTCTCCTACGTTAACCATTGATTACTTATTTTTTCACTTCAAAATATATTTGAACAATTCGAAGCATATGAAAATATTTTTGGTTTTCTATTTATCGGTAAAAACTAAGATCACTAGATGATGAAAATTTGAAAAAATATTGCATTTAATCTTGAATGTTCTTTAAAGCATAATAAGCATCGATATTGATGGTTTGGATTAATTTTTTGAAGTAAAACTATTAAGAAAAATAGTACAATTAGAAGATAGCAGTTTAATTGATACAGTCAATCAAATAAAAAGATTTGATTCTTTTTCAAATGCCTATATTACTTATGGAATAATGTTAATAACTCATGTTACCGTTGCTTCAGTGGAAAGAAGTTTTCAAAAATTAAAATTGATAAAATCCTACCTAAGATCAACAATGTCTCAAAAGAGGTTAAATGGATTAGCTATATTGTCAACTGAGAGAGACTTATTAGGAGAAATTGATTATAAAAAAATTATTAATAATTTTCCATCTAAAAATAAGCTAGAAAAATAGATTTAAAAATTAAGGCCTCTTTTAACATTTGGATTTAGGCCACAAAGTTCGTTGGGCCGCCCGGGTTAAACATTATCCTCCATTTTGGTAAGGAATTTTTACATTCCTATGCTATATAGGAAACTATATTACCATCAATGTTTAAGGTTTGATATAATTACATTTAATATACCTAATTACCAATTATATGTCATTAGTGATTTTTAAGGCTATTAATTACACTCTTAATTTAATGGTACCGTATATTCCTTATAATACCACTCCCCTCACGTTTCTCTCTCCAATTCCCATACCTTCACCCACGTTTTCCTCTCACACCCACGATTTCTGTATCAAAATCCCATTATTTCTTTCATAGCCAAGGCTTTGAATTCGAATTTGGGTTTTCAAAAGACATTGTTTGTTTGGATTAGATATTGTTGTTGTTGTTGTTCTTCTTCTTCTTCTTCTTCTTCTTCTTCTTCTTCTTCTTCTTCTTCTTCTTCTTCTTCTTCTTCTTCTTCTTCGAGTTTCAATCTGAAATTCAGTCAAAACCAAGTCTAATCTTCACCAAAACCCCTCAAAATTGAGAGATAAACTCCAAACCTTATTCCCAATTATTTTCAACAACACCCAATCCAAACAAATAATGATTTTTGAAAACCCAAATTTGAATTCAAAGCTTTCAAGTTTTTTAATGGCTGTCAATGGTGGAATTGCTGCTCTCTTTGCTTTTGCTTTGTATTACTGAAATTTGGGATTGAGAGATAGAGAGAGAATTCTGGAAGCAGAGTGTATCGCAAAAACAGAGTATGGAAAATCTTGATCTGCGTTGTGAAAGATCAGAGTGAAGCCGACGATAATTATGAATGTGCGTGATCTGCGTTGTGAAAGATCTTGAAGAATATTTAATTTCCCAATTTTAGCGCGCCTAAATAAGGAATCCTACAGCTACAATGATTCCTTATTTAATGCATTATCTATATTTTGTAGGAATACTATTAGCATGAAGGGTAATATGCAAACTATGAACATATTTGGTAATATATTTTCCTATATGGTATATGAACAAAATTTTCCATTTTGATAATCGCTTAAAAGAGGATTTGATTTTCGAGATTATTATGTACATAACATCATGTTTTACTCCTAATTTCAAATATTGATCGCTACCTAATTTGACCTAAAATTGTTATTTACTTAAAAATGTGAAATATAATTTTATTTTCCTTTAAAATTTTGATACATGCTGTATTATACTTATTGAAGGCTTGCCTATTGGGCTATACTGGGTTGAAGAGAGATTTTTACTAAGAAAGGCCTTGATTTTGGGCTAGTAGTATTTTCTCTCGGCACTTTTCTCTTGTTTCTTGAACATAAAGCTGGAAAAAAACAAGAGAAAAACATTTAATGTTGAAAGTCAATTGTAGATAAATGGAAAGGGAGTACTTTTTTTTTGCTTTCTTTTCATTTCTCTGTATTGCTCACGTATTGGCTACTTTTTTTACCATTTGACTTCTGAATTCTCAGTACTCATTATGGACCAATGGGCCCCAATGGTCCCACTGGTCTCTATTTGGATTGTTTGAATTTTTGTAATGTTGATGACATTAAAGCCCAACTTACAAAGCCTGCCCTGTATCAGCTTTCAGCCTGCCCCTTTGTGGTCCAATTTTACTTCTTCAGAAATCATAACNGGGTGTTAGAGGAAAAAGGTACATGGTAAATGAGTATATACCATATCATGGTTCTTGGTAAATATTGGCTAAATCTTCTCTAAAACATAGCGCTCTTAGCATCGATTAAAGCACTTACAGCATAAAGATCTTCACACTAACACACTGAAGATGTAAAAGTTAAATGTTAAGACAAGTTTAAATTTATCACTTGACGGTATAAAGTACTTACACAATTAGATCACTAAAGACTGGAACTTAAGTATGAGTTGACAACCTAGAACATCATGTGGATACAGGGGCGGAGCCACAAGCCCACGTACGGGTTCGGTAGAACCCAATAACTTTGGTTCAAATTTTATATTTATACTGTAAAATTGAATTAATATGTAAATAATTTATTCAGAACCCAGTAAGTTGCCTTCCAATTACACCCACGGTGTAAATAAACAGGTACATTTAAATTATTGGTGTTATAAAAGTCACATTAGTACTAAGCTCCTTTATGAGGCTTTACTTCTACACAAATACCTACACATATTGTTACATCCACAATAAAAGCAAGAGGCTTCTTCTAAAAAAGTTCATACTAGTTTGTTAAGCTGCACTTAAAATCATTGGATAAAGTGTCTAAAAGAAAAGGAAAAACTTGTACATATAAGACAGATGAACTTATGTAAGTGTGTTGGCTATGTCAAATTCATAAATATCACACGTTAAGATAAAACCAATGTATAAAGAAAGGACAAGAAAATACAGAGAGGGCATAAGCATCCATCACTCTCTTCTCTGGGCTCCTTGGAAGACTAGACAAAAACATTGATAGCTACTGCACGTGCCCCCATCCCCTCTATTTCATGTCTTCCCCATGTGCACTTGTGCTTCCTCAATAAACATTAATATCACAAATGAAAATGATACTTAATACAATAAAGGGCATCCGGTGTACTAAACTCCAGTTACGGGCAGGGTTGGAAGAAGGATCGGACTATAAAGGTCTATCGTACGCAGTCTTACCCAACATTTCTGCAAGAGCCTGTTTTCACGGCTCGAACCCGTGACCTCCTGGTCATAGAACAACAATTTTACTAGTTACGCTAAGGCTCCCTTACGATTACTTAATACAATAAAAGATCAAAATAAGATTCCTATATTCAGTAATCTTTTTTTTAATTGAGACTTTTTATATGACTAGAAGCTACAAAGGGATATTCTAAAAGCTCCACAATAAAGTACATTTATCTTGATTTACATAACATAAGATGATTAAGATCTCCTTGTTGTTTGCCCTTCTTTTTTTTTGGGTGATGGTTGGGGATTGAGGGAGTTAAGCAAACATTAAAACATAAAGACAAAATTGAATTACATTTGATCATGAATGCCAGATTCCACTGAGAATGTTTCTGAATCTATTGGAGGATAATTTCCTGACAAGCTTTTTTGCATCTGAAACTTCAGCTTCTGCTAGCTTCTCAATGTTTTTCAGATACCCAGAATTTGCAATTTTCTTTCTTGCACTATTGCAACTTGTTAATGACATGAGTATAGAAAGCAATAGCTTCTTGTTACCAAAATTTGCCTGCTCAGGGTCAAGCATTTGTAGCAGCAAACCAATATTTTGATCACTTTGTACAAATCTCTTTTGGTTTCTTGGCACAATAACCATACTTGATAGTGTTTCAGCTGCCATTTCTCTAACCTCAAATGACTTGGAATCAAGAAAATTCACAAGCTCAGGCATAAATCCAGCATCCCCCATTGCTTTCTTGGCCTCTTCTGATGTTCCACATAGCCAAAATGCTGCCTTTAATGCCAATTCTTGAAGTGAACCATCCCCATGTCTAAGAAAATACAGAATGTGATCCATAAATCCATTATTCAACAGAATGTTCACTGAATTTACTGATGAGAAACATAAATTCACAATTCCCCTCAAGGCCATTTCCCTTGCTTTAGACGAGAACGATGATTTCGGATCCAAAACACGAGCTAGAGCTCGTATTCCACCTTCTTTCATGATCATTTGTCTAGTTGATTCATCCCCAGAAGCCATACTTTGTAAAAAATCAATTGAACTAATTTGTGTAACCTCATCTTTAGACCTTGCAAGCTTAACAAATACTGAAATTGCACCTTCCTCAATCATAAACCTCTTGATTTCTTCAACCCCAACAAGATTTTTCAACACCCCACAAACCAAACCAACTAATTCACCAACAGAATCAACCTCAGTACATAACTTCAACAAAACAGTAACTCCACCATGAGCTGAAACTGACCATACATTATCTGAATTCTCTGTTAGCTTCTGCAAACATCTTGCTGCAAATTCTTTACTCAAACCATTCCCACACTCTAAAACTCTAATTAGTGGTGCAATTATTCCTGTAGAAATTAAACAACTTCTATAGGATTGATACCCTGCTATTACAGATAAGGCCTTAGCTGCCTCTTCTTGAAGATTATCTTCTTGAAAATCAAGAAAATTCACCAACCGAGAAACAAAACTATCAACTTCAATTGCAACTTTAACATACCTATCATCTTCTTGAATGACTTCATTCAAGGCAATCAAAGCTTGCTTCTTCATTTCTGAAGAACCAATCTTGAGCCTTGACAACAAATCCCTGATATAGAACTTAATATCATCGCGAGAAGCTCCAATGCTCGGCCTTGAAACAATAATAGCATAGCTCTGAGTTAGCAAACCGAGAGAGTAAATCTCAGAAATGTTCCTTACATGATTGTCCAACTTTGAGGAAATTATATCAAGATCACTTTGCATGAGGAGTTTCCCACTATAAGAAAATTCCATACAATGCTTTGAAAGTTCATTGCAGTTTTTGAGGGTTGCATTAATGGCCTGAAGAGAGCTGCAAAGTGGAGGATAATTTTCAGTTGAATCACAATTTTCAATGACAGAGAGACTAGAGAGAAGTTCTTCAAGCTTATTGCGAATAGATTGCCATTTCACGGGAAACACTTTGATTGAATAAGAAAGAGATATGAGTGAAGAAATGAACACAATTTCTTGCCGGATTCTTGATTCTCCGGCGGTTGATGCAACTGGATTTTGTGCATGTTCCGTTTCAGTAAACATGTTGGATTTCATTGGCCCATTTTCCGGCGAGATGGGGTCGGAAGAAATGTAAAGATTCCGGCGAATTAGTTAGAGTTTTTTGGGAGGAAAATCAAGACAATTCAATAAATTTTATCTTGAGGAGAAAGAATAGCTCTGCCTATATTGTTCATGCTTATCTTCAGTTGATGTACAGAAATTGTGAACGGACTGAATGACAAAAATAGCCTTGGCAACGGTGTGACAGATGGATTGATTTGTGCGAAGATATAGGGGTATTTTTGGTATATCAGTTGCAGAATGGTGGCTAGTTAGTTAGGAGATGAAACAAGTTTAATAAGAATGGGAGAATTATTAGGGAAACTGCTTTGGACTCTTGGAAGTTAGGTTCAAATTTTATACACCAAGAGAGATTAAAGCAATTTAAAAAGAAAACAAATAATGATGGAATTACTAGAAACAATTTTTTTATATCTTGTAGTGTATCAGAAGTTTCATTTCATCTTTTACCAATCATTTCGAAATTATGCAGAATCTTTGTTAATTATTTGCTCTATTGAATGTCTCAAACAATAGACAGAACTAGATTTTTTCCCCCCTTCTATTACTTATAAATAAATTGAAGTCCTTTTCTTAGGGGTGACAGGAAAGTATATATAAGCTCTAGCTGCAAAACACAAAACAAAAAAAAGGGAAAAGTTTATATTAGGCTGCAAGTAATAGGAAAAGAGAATTAAAAATTAACGAATTTATTTTATAAAGTCATTGTCTTATCATGAAATGGTTTGATCCACAAATAGTGGCTTGCATTGTTGCAAAAATATAGCTTCACAAGGAATCTTGTGAATTGTGATGTTCTTTTTGTTCTTTTCAATTGTTGCTTTTGCGTGTAGTCATCTACTATTATTTTGCTCATGTACATACTGTTGTTGTATGCTACTTTCATGTCAACAACCTTAGATGGAACATGATACCCATACTACAATGTGAAGATGAAATAGGGAAATAAAAAAAAAATGGTGTTTTCACTCTTCACGGGAAGAGTTGATAAAAAAACAATCAATTATAACTTAAATAGAAGAAAATGATCTTATAATAATCTCATGTATTTTATATTACCGATCTCCTATGCCCTAATATGAGAATCTTCTGCTAAACGAACAATATAACTAAAGGAATATTCGTAATTGATCATATGATACCGAACCCTCCTTAAGAAGATAAAACAAGTTTAACAAGAATTGGGAAGTTAATAGGGAAGTGCTTAATTGGATTGTTGGAAGTTAGAGGTTGGAGGCTTTGGACGGATGTTCAAGTTTTATGCTCCATATATAGAGGTCTCATTTCAAAGAAAGTCTCACCAAATTTGAAATAATAATTTTTCCTAATCTGTATAAACAACAATATATTTCTAGAAGTATCATAAACAAGAAACTCAGCTTGTATAGTATATAATGTAATTTATTAGGGACAGAAAGGGTGTATCAAAAGTTTCAATTCATCTTTTAGAAACCATTTGAAAACTATATGACATCTTTCTTAAGTGCCTCTGTTCACATAATGCCTCGATACACAGCACTAAGTTGTTTTGCAAATTCTTTTACAGAAGTGGTCCTTTTTGTGGAGAGAGGAACATCTATGCTAGCCCAAATTGCAAATATGGGGACATCGTAAACATGGCGTCAAGGGTAAGGGCAAGTGAGTTTTATATTGATGACTTATTTAGGCTTTATATTTGTTTTAATGGTTCAGTTCAGCCGATTATTTTATATAATATTTATTTATATTAATTTTTTGATTATTCTATTCTTTATAACTAAAATTAGACTTTTTTGAAACCATATCAATCATCTCAATTTTTTTTTGGTATCGGTATGATGCGGTTAATTTTTGATATATTTTTAAAATATCATATAAGAGTCATGGTGTATGTTATTTGCAAATGACATAGTGTTGATCGATGAGACATTTTGGGGGGTTAACGATAGGCTGGAGATGTGGAGACAAACCCTGGAGCCTGAAGATTTCAAGTTGAATAAAACGAAAACAGAATACTTGGAGTGCAAGTTCGGTATAGGGACACAGGAAACAGAAACGGAGGTGATGCTTGATACACAAGTCATCCCCAAGAGAGATAGTTTCAAATATCTTGGGTCTATTATTCAGGGGAACGAGGATTGACGAGGATGTTACGCATCATATTGGAGCGGAGTGGATGAAATGGAGGCTCGCGTATGGTGTTTTGTATGATAAGAATGCGCCACCAAGACTTAAGGGCAAGTTCTACAAAGTGGTAGTTAAGCCAACTAAGTTGTATGGAGCCGAGTGTTGTCCAATAAAAAAATCTCATGTCCGAAAGATGAAAGTAGCAGAGATGAGGATGTTGAGATGGATGTGTGGGCATAGCAGGAAAGACCGGATTAGGAATGAAGTTATTAGGGACAAGGTGGGTGTGGCTCCTGTGGAAGAAAAGTTGTGGGAATCGAGGTTGAGATAGTTCGGGCATGTGAAGAGGAGAGACACTGATGCCCCGGCTAGGAATGTGAGTGGTTGACCATGGCAGGTCAGAGGAGAGATAGAGGGAGGCCTAAAAAGTACTCAGGAAAGGTGATTAGGCAGAACATGGCACTACTTCAGCTTACCGAGGACATGACCCTCGATAGGAAGGTATGGAGGTCGAGAATTAGGGTTGTGGGTTGAAAGGTAGTCGAGAGTCTCTTCTAGTCGTGCTAGTAGTATTAGTACTAGTCTTGTATTCTCTTATTCCTAGTTCCTTGTTACATGATGTGCCATTATTACCGATAATTTTCGCACTTCTCTTATAGTTTCATATTCCTAGATCTTTGTTATTACATGTTGTACCATTTTCTTTCATTGTCTTATTTTCTTATCATTGTTATTGTTTGTTTATTATGTCCTTTTCATTGTTCTTGAGCGGAGGGTCTATCGGAAACCTCTCTCCCTTCATAAGGTAAGGGTACGGTCTACGTACACATTACCCTCCCCATTTTTCACGTGTGAGATTTTATTGGATTTGTTGTTGTTGTTTTTGTCATGTAAGAGTCACTAGTAGAAGTTAGAACGCAATAATATACCTACTTGCATTGGACTTTGGCCAAACTCTTTAGACATTTTTACTATTTAAGAGGTAATAAATCAAGAGGACATAAAAGATGGTCAGAATAGAGATCTATCTAACTATTCTATAGCAAAATAAAACAAATCAAGCAAAAACAAGAAATATATATATGTTACACCACTGACAAAATATTAATCAGGTTAGGACTCAAGTATAAAGTCCATTAGATGATTAAGTATTCTACACACGAAGTCTAAATTATACGAGAGAAAAGATATCCAACCTTATTGATTGCTACTCAAGATCATGGAAATCCTGTGGCTTGCTACTCAATATGCTAGGACTAATTTAATTCCAATGTGAGTAGCATAATTTGGGAGTTAGGACTTTTGGTGTTAATTACCTATGGGCTTGTAACCGCTTCATAATCTCAAGGCCCTAAATGTTTTTCTATTTTTAAATATAATATATGAAATATATTTTTTATATATAAATTTATCGATACGGTTAAGTATTTTTCAATATAATTTCATAAAATTAAAAGCCTAGCCTATTATTTGGTAAGTTACAGTTTTTTTTATAAAAATCTATAGTTTTATTAATAGCTTGTTTGGATGGTTGTTACGCATCGTTTCATAATGTATCGTATCGTACTGTATTGTATTGTACTGTATCATTTAATAAATACAATGTTTGGATAGATTGTGTCGTTTGCCATCGTTTCATGATATCACGCACAAGTATTATGAAGAATAAACTTGCAATATTATAAAGAAAAATTATGATGCAAGGTAAAATTACTATATAAAAAAGATAGGGTAAATGATAAAATAAAATAATTTAATAATAATAAAGGGCGATATTGAGAGAAAAAGATAAGGTAACGACGCGACCACACCAAATCGGTCGTTACATAAAGTGACACATTTCGTCGTTATGTAACGACGGATTTAACGATACGATACAATAAAATTTAAGTAACAATCAAAACAAACATTGTATTTAAAGTAACAATACGATACAATACAATGCGTAACAACCATTCAAACAAGCTGTAAAAGAAACTTAATAATTGATTCGGTACGGTATGCATGGTTTGGTCGATTTAATCGGGTTTTATCATGAAATGTTTTGATCCAACATAAATGCATTTATGATTATTTCGTCCAAAAGATTAAACGGTTAGAGGTGGCATATTTTTATTTATTACAAGAGATTTTCAACATGATCTCTTATTTGCGGGCAGCATGTTTGATTCAAAGAATTATTTAAACATAAACAGTAATTTTCTTCTTTTTATATTAAATATGGGAAAGAAAAGTAAACGCCAAACTCCCTACATTTAGATAGTGTCATGAATTGTTTTAGACTTTAGGAAGTTTCTTTCTATGCCTAAAAGTTAAAAGTGGTGCTATACATTGCTTAGTAAAGAAAGAGTAGACTTACAGAGGATCTGACATTTGACAGAGAAATGGAATTTTGATTTTTGACACAAAAGAATAAAAGATTGAAGTTGTAATGGACCATCCTTTTAATTAGAGCTCTCCTTTTCTACAGTAAAATATTAGGTAAAAAGCGAGCACAAAGAGAAAGAAAAAAAAAACATAGTGTAGCTTTCAATAGTAATAAGAACTCTGGCAATAGAGATGCCAAAATGCATAGTCCCACCATGTGAACTCCCCCTATATATTTAGGATTGTTATCACCTTTTTAGCTCAATCTTTCTTGATAAAATTGCATCTCTTTTATTACCTTTTTGGTATTGGATGGTGAGATGACCTTAACCAATCCAAAAGCTGCTAAGATTGAAATGGCAAGAATGTACATTGCATACTTAACCATGTTAAGTAGTAATAAACTATTTATGTGAAAATAGATATTGCATGTTTATTGAGTTGGTGTCAAATGTAAGTAAATGGATTGAAAGAGCCATTAATTGTTATATTAAGTGATAGTGATTTATATAAAGATAGATGTAGTATGCATATTGAGTTGGTGTAAATACTAAGTAATTATATATATATATATACTCGTTGCACGTCTAAAATCTAAATGGTAAAGAGCAGAATATATCGGAAAAAAGGTAATAGTTCATCACAAAGTTAATAATTTTAGAAATACATATAAATCAAGAAAAGTAGAAAAAGTATACCCTTTCAGAAGATGACGAATTACAAACAAATAAAAAAACTAAAAAGTTCCTTTATTTATTTATTTTTGCTAAACAAAAGTTCCTTTAATATGATTAGATGCCTATTTAGTACGAAAGAAGGTCTTATTAGATGACA